TACAGATACCCATAGCCGTCGCAAAGCATAAAGCCCAAAACATATGCAGCGTTTTGGTTAGCGTTTTCTCGACGTCGCTTCCCTCGGCGTCATTGAGTCAACGCCACCAGAGAGGGTGGCAAACCATACGAGGAGTGCCAAGGCTAGCGCTAGCTCAGCGTCGCACATTGTATCGATGAGAATGAACCCAAGACCTCGCAAAGCAATGTGCAGTGTCTGTCAATGCAGCAACAACAAATAATCCTGAAATTCGGTTTCATGTCTTATTTGCAATTCTAAGGCCAGAAAAACATAGTAACACGGAAAGGTTTTTTTTTTCCCTTCTAGTGCCAGCTGTTCAGAATAAGAAGAACCAGAAACGCTATATATACTGCCCCTGAACTTGGAAGTTGTACATCTTTGAGGCCACGTATTCAGCCAATACACTCAGGACTGCTAACCCTATCGACGAACTTGAGTATGGCACTCGAAAACGGTTCTAAGAAATCCCGACCGCTTTCGGTCGAAGCTTCTGAGGAACAAGCTAAGTCAAATACAAGCATCAGTTGAAAATTTTCGGGTCGCAGAGTACGGCGACGACTTAATAGATCCAAGACTGGTGGCAGCCATTGTGGCAGCAGCAATGCTGCTATAGTGGCTATAACGCTGCTGTTACGTAGCGGAAGTCCCCGGTAGCCGTGCGCTGATTGGCTCTATCCATCGACTTGCTTCTGATGTCTGCGCCGACGCTGCAGATATCTGAATCCCCCAGAAGTGAACGTTCCGGCCACCATCACCGGTAGCGTTGGGGCTGAGTGACGCCAGCACACTAAACGCCGGGAAAACATAAAAAAAATGCTCCATATGTTTCGGGCTTAACTGTGAGAGAAATCAATACAGGCCGTTGCGAATGTGTCGGTAAGCGAATTAATCGTGTTCTTCACGGCCAGTCAGATGAGAAAGTTTGGTCATGTAGATCTCCAATTACTAGAAATCCTTGACGGAAAGATGTGGCAACTTTTATTATGAAGTTCAACAAAGCCTCTGAACGTGGTACGCACCGTGTTAAATGCAGACTAGTGATGCAGGTGATAAGCATCGCACAAGCCATGACCACCGATTACCTAAAGTGGTCACCACTACACAGCGTCGCGCACGCAGGCTTTGAAGGCTCTAAATTTCGGCCTTAACTAGCAAATGCTAACATGTACATGACACAGATAAATCGCAAAATGTTGGTCGCGACCACATAATAAGGTTTTTCGTGGCGTTGGTCACTGCGACTGCTGAAGCCAATCTCGAAGGCCTCTGTTTTGCCTGTCATTGTGCACCGAGAAAGTAGACATGCATGTATCCCCATTCACAGTATGTACCAACGAAAGGTAACGGTCAACAGCTAAGATGCGTAATAGAACGGTCAACGCACAAGAAGAGAGAGATAGATGGAGAATGCCATTGCAAAGGCGATAATCCCCGGGGCCATCTGATAAAGCGAGTTCACTGATAGTAAGATACATTGCTCACATATGTGCTTCATCCAGTTGGCATCATGTGTATGCTCAAAACGCATTTAGGCATTAGAGAATGCACGTCTGAGCGCTTGCCTCGAACTTTATATCATGCGACACTCGCTTGCACTTAAACTGCGAGCTGCAGCGCACCGAAATAAAATAAAAAACATTTTTTGCATTGGACCCACAGTTCTCTTTGATGAGCTGCCCACTTTTCTGAAGCGACGTTCAATTGACGTTAGAAGCTTGCCAGATCCTTCATTATCAGGGAACCACGCCTCAACACCAGCGAAAGAGGAGGGCCTATGCACGTTCGCTTGCGAACGGCTATTTTTGCACTACCCAATTCTGGCCAGGGCGGCGATGGGGGCGCTGGTAACGACGTTTTTCGCAGCGTCGCCTGACCATAGTCTGACGTCTAACGCGGTCAACTCCTAAAGGTAAAGCTTTAGGGTCCCCTAATCTTTTGGTAAGAAAGATTACTACAACTGTATGTGAACCTGGTTAGTACGCATTCTTTCATAAGATGCTCCAAAAACAACCAATGTATTACACCCAATGGTGCTCAGAAGATCCTGGCAATTAAGTTGACGGCCCTCACAGATTGAATAAAAGCCATTTAAACAAAAAACTTGAGATATTTCTGTTTCAACCCCTTTGAGTCATTTTCGGAACTTTCAGCGACTATAAGGCGTGGCACAAGAAAACCAAAATGGCTGTTATTGCAGTGATCACTCGCATGCACGGAGCCTTTGCCGCAGGTGTTTTTACTGCATGGTTCCTGCTGCTTGCAGCTCATAACCGAGTGCATAAAGTGCGGGACACGCGGTATGACCTTGCTCTGGATTCAACTTCCTATGCGCTTGTGCAGCAGCGGGTTCGGTGATGTTCTGTCATACTGGGCTGCCAGATCGGGCATCCAGCGTACCTCAAATTCGGCAGATTTTTTTCATCCGCTCGGTCCGGCGATCGCGTGGCTAACTATATTCCCAACGGTAAACAGCACCCCAGCCAGGTAAGGCGGAGCCGCCTGTGCTGTCGATTGTTTATTTAGCACTCCCATCATTTTAATCGAGAATTCCAAGACATTTACCGGTAGTGGCGTTGTTTCATTGTGCAAACTAATTCCTAATCAAATAAAGCCATGCTCCGATGTGCCACTTATTCAAAATAGCGTCGACTTACAAGCTACGAGCGAGATTGGAAACCACGTATGATGCTAGGACATTTAACAGGAATATGCAACGCCGCAGGCCATCTCGGCCAACCAGTTTACTATGCTTCCATCTTCGCATCAATGTTGTCGAGAAAACTTGCGTATGTTGACGCAGACACAAGAGTACAAATATCAATCATGTTGTTGAAATTTGAGCACCCCAGACAAGCTTGCGCTCGATCACGGCATAACGAGAATTACGCGGATTAACCGCGTTATTGTAGACCAAACAAAAAACAAGAGCACTCACTCGACTGTTTGTCTGAGCATTAATATTAATATTAATAGTAGGGGTTAAACATCTTTAAACCATCATATGCTTACAAGAGACGATGTAGTGGAGGGCTCCGGAAATTTTGACTACCCGGGGTTCCTTAACGTGCACCTAAATCTTAGCACACTGGCCTCAAGCATTTTTGCCTCCATCAAAAATACGGCCGGGAATCGATCCTGTGACGTGCGGCTTTACATCCGAGTGCCTTAGCCCCTAGAGCACCATGGCGGGTGTCTTTTCACTCGAGGTTACCAATCATGGTAGCACAGTACGCTAAGTGCCGTGATGCTGAGTTCGATGGGCTCGATTGCCGGCCACGGTGGGGAAACTTCGATAGGGCTAATTGCAAAGCAAAAACCATAAGCTTAAATTTAAGAGCACTTTAAGGAAACCTAAGTTGCGAAAATTAATCCCAAGGTCCTCGCGCTACAGCATGTTTCATCATGTCGTGGTTTTGGTAAATAAAATTCAAGCAATTCGGTTCCATCCCAAAGTCAGCCGATTTCAAGTGCACGCTGGTAACCACAATTGTGACAAGTTTCACAATGTACAGTTTGATAGCCCATTGCTTTTTTCGTCGCCAGCCGAAAAGAAAACCGAGCACGCTTGTGACGCCTTTCATGTTGAAGTTTTAGCGTTGCAGCCCACAGCACACGTAATTTCTCTTGTATTATTCGCCCATTGTTGAAGCAAAAGGTTCTACAGCCTTGCACCAACAAAATCTATCATACTCCAGGTTTCGTAAACGCAAGAAGTTGTGGGACACGAGGACGACGAAGCAGGGCTCACACGTCGTCAGGAAAGTTTTCCTTCTGTAACCGCATCATGCCTTTTGCTGGTTGCTGTGTGGCAGCCCCACCGTAGCTGAAAGTTGCAGATAGGCGCAACTTTGACACTACATCAAATCCAACATGACCTCTAGTGGGCCAATTCATAGTGAAATCATGCATTTATCCTGAGTGATTGCACATCCTAATATCAACTAAAAGTGCCACTGTGGCGTTTCAATCCATGAGCATTGCATATTCATTATCATGGGATGACATATGCGGAAAAAACAACAGGCATATGATGCCCACAAACACTATGTATGGGTAGTGTGTGTGTGATCCAATGCATGACTCTAAGCTTGTCTGTTGTCTATAAGCCCGACAGCTTTAACAACTACTTTTCTTTACCCAGAATTCAGGATGAAGCATTAACCCCCGTATACAGATACGCTGCTTGACTTGAACTTGACTTGCAACCGCCTTCAATGCAGCGCGTTTGGAACGCGTCTGTGCGTTTGTGCAACCTTGGCATCGCCTAAAGACAGCACGTCCGAAATGCGTTTGTGCTGCATCGAAGTCGATGTCAAGTTCAAGCCAAGCAGCGTTTCTGAAAAGACAGCACGTTCTAAATGTGTTTGTGCTGCATCGAAGTCGATGTCAAATCAAGTTGGAGTCAAGCAGCGTTTCTGAATACGGGGGTAAGAATTTCGGATATCCTTACTACTCAACATGTACACTAGTTAATCCCTACTATCATTACACTACTCTTCGAGACAGCAATTCTGTAAATAACGCTGGTTACAGCATGTTTGAAAAGCTGCATCACCACCTACCAGCTTAAATGAAGCGGAAATGGCCGTGCTTTTGAAAAATTGCTGGTTTTCTCGACATAGTCACCAATTTAAAAAATTACAAAGATAAAATTGTGCCATCGCTTTCAAGAGACAACTAGAACAGCTTCGCAAACAGTTTTCAAAAGAAGGGACATTCTCTTTCAGACTTAAATAAATACTCTAAACGACAGACGAGCAAGAGACCACGTTTTTGGCTTGGGGAATGCGCGCGTCCGCTCATTTCCTTCGAAACGAGCACCTTCAAGCCACAAAGCAGTAAGCAATCGGTGAATAGCAGCTAGTTCCCTGGCTCAGCTACAAGTGTACCAGAGAACAGCTAAAATTCAATCGGGCGAGAGTCCGCCATTAAAAAAAAAAAAAATCGGTTTGCTTAAATGATCTCCGACGCGGCATTACCTCGGAGGACCTCTTGGGGGAAAGCCATCGGTGCCTCGGTTACGATGCATGAAAGCGCCCTTGACAACTTCATTTGAGCCGTCACTATCGCTCATTTCAAAAGTATTGTCGCCCATCAGGAAATACTCTTGGTAGGCAGTACAAAGGACCGGCACAAGGAGCTTGGCCGACGCGGGCCGGGGCTATCGTAAGTATTCTAGACCTAGACAAAAGCTGTTTTATTCACGTGTAAAGAAGGCGCTACTAATAAGCTTACTCCTACTAAATAAGCACACAAATTTTCTTTATTTTATTTGTTTTATTGTTTTAAAATTAGTAGTCGAACATAGCGTTTCATAAGTACTCATTAACGTTTAGAGGTGTGTGCCTCAGCGACCAGGGGAATGAAGGGTAGTACACGATGGGGCCGCCGCCAAAAGGAACAAGTGAAGCCGCCGGCGGCCATATTGCTAGAGGAAAAACAGGGCGGAACCGCCATGGACCGCAATAAAAAACGCGTGTTGCGAGCATCGGTTTGCAGTTCCACGATAAAAAAAAAAATTGACGGAAAGCACTTTTAGGTTACACCAACGAATAAATGCCTCTTCTTGTTTATGAAACAAGTGATTTCATGCACACATATAGCTGCACGCTTTCAGATCTATCTGTTGTCAAGGAATGCTTCGCATATCAAGCTTGCTGGCACACTATTGCGGTACAAAAGTGTTGTAGTATATATTGGGTGTTTTAAGAAATGCGCCTGCAGATACTCAAGATCAAGGGTAACGCGACATTTGCTCGCCTCTTTCATACGTGTGCTTGTGTGTGTGTCGGCAGGTTACCAGAGAATATATATAAGGCGCCTGCAGATACTCAAGATCAAGGGTAACGCGAATTTTGCTCGCCTCTTTCATACGTGTACTTGTGTGTGTGTGTTGGCAGGTTACCAGAGAATATATATAAGGAAGTTGAAATTATTGAAGATAAAGTTAGAAAAAAGAGGTAATTAAGTAAACTGGGAGTCACCAGTAATTTTTCTAGAATTATCGAATTCTAACCATTTAACAGGCAGAACCACAATCGAAGCACCGATGTCGCGTGCAACCGACAAACTTTAGGAAACACACCCCAAATAAACCGTTCATAAGAACGATTGCAGTGGCGTTACTTCTGCATAATATTGTTGCGTAAAAAGACACGAGGTGTGTCTATTCAGAATATATATGGACACTGATGCATATAACATCGACTAAGATGGAGGATAACACGCACAACCGGCAGACCACTTCCTCGTTGTCGTCTTCTGACCGCTGATATGTCAGCTACGTAGCAATATTTATCAACTTTCGTTGGCGACGTGTGTTGTCATGGCAAGCGCAGCCTTCAGAGCCTAGAAACGAGGTAGCTCGATGTGTTATATAACACCACTCACTCATTTTGGCAACTTCGTCTATCAAAGTTTTGGTTTCGGTTTCGTCGGCAAGATAAAACGGATTACTAAGGTGTCTCATTTCGTTTCAGATGCAATTGCTTACTTTCGTGACTACATTCTATTGAAGCTACATCAAGGAGGAGAAACTAACAGGTTTTTTGCAGATGCGCTCGAAAAGCAGGAAAAATTGAAATTGCACTGCCAGTCCGTATGTGGTCTGGTTGTCTGCCCCGTTCTGTCGAAGCAGCATGCTTCGAAGTGAATGGTGCAGAGGTGATCACCGTCCGTAGCTTTTCAATTAATTCTTCGAACAGCACATTCCCAGGCAGAACGCAGCTCACTGTTCTTCGAAAACCTGTAAAACGGATAATCACGCCATGAGATATTCTCTACGTTTGCGAATTCCTCAATAAACATGCACTAAATTTGATATTCACCCGCCAAAAAAAAGTATGCATGCATGCCGTCAGTCTTGCCTTCTAAGACAACACCAGAAAACTCGGAATTCAAAGAGCATTCAGACGCCCTACTCGTTCCAATGTTTGATACGTGCAGCCATAGACCGCAAGTGCTTCGTCCATAAACATTAAATCTCATGAACAACTTAGAAGTGTGGCAGCTTGGGCTAGTTGGTATGGCATGACAGTAGTTATAGCGCGAGAACGTTTTGTTCTCGCGCAATAACTATCGTCATCCCATGAACAACGTTTTGATTTTTTCGCCCCCTACAGGTAATGACTTGAACTTGAGAGTTTCCGCAGTGTAAAGGTGGTCTGTGGTTCTCGGGCACCCGTTCAAAAACTTTCCTAGCCACTATAGCGTGCGCAACACTTGTGTCCATAACTTTATGCACAGATAGCAAAGAAATGTGCTGACAAGTTACCTAGATAAAAGATAGAATTTTCATATAAAAAATTGCTGACCAACTGCAAATACATGGTCCGAGAATTTATCAATAATTAGAAAACGGTGTTCAGAACTACGCTTCAACCTAGAGTTTCTTTGAGCGCCGCATTTTCATAGTGTGCTCGCTCAGAGTAGGCTTCCGTGGTCATCTTACTGTAGCGACTGGTTTGTACTTTATACTTACCGACGCGGTGATAAGCAGCCGCGCCCATTGAGTGTATATATGTGTAATTCCACGTGATACCAAACGTGCTCCATTGTATCGTTATACCATTGTATCATGATATCACATTGAGTTCTTGTGTACAACTAAGCCAGCATTGTCATGTATTTGAAAGCAATGGTGTCTTATCTACAACGTAGTGATGTTGGTCGAGATGCATAGATGCGCCGAAGCGTATGGCACCTATTTTTGGAATGTTATGAAGCCTTTGTGGTCTGTACATACTGTAAATAAAATTTTTTGTAAACCAAGCATCAATATGAAACGTCGGCTCGTCGTCAGTCGCCTGCTCCGAGGCTGCACGATGTTTGGGATTGACCAACACCACCTAGACTATTCACAAGGCCCGTTCATACCCCTCTCTCCAGGCGGCATACGTCACGCTAGTTGTCCGATGTTATGACCGGCACAGCAAGGAGGTGGCTTGCAAGGGACGCTCATCGGCGTAACGGTCAAACGCTGTCCGCGTCCTGCACGAACGCGGGAGGTGTCTGTGTGCGCCGCAGGAAATGCACATCAGCGTCGCTGGGACACACAGTCGGCGTCTAGCGCGTGCACGGACGGCTATAAAAGGAGCGTGTCGGGAGTGCGCTGTGCTCTCTCTCTGGACTTCGCTGGCCCGCTCGTCTCGAGTGCGCTCTGGGCCCTTGTGATGGAAAGGCGCGTCTGTACGCTCTCGTTGCAATGTACTTCTTTTGCAAATATGTAAATTAAATGCATCTTCTACTTGTTCGTGAGACGCGTCGCAAGAGTCGTCCTTCGCCGGATCCTGGGTGGCAGCCTCAACCCCTCCCCGGGCATATCACCGACTGTCCACTGGCCGAGGACGCGTCGCTCAGGTGGTGGTGTTGGTCACCCCGCGCACTTTTTTACCCCGAACGGCGGACAAGCCACGACAGGTTTGCCTTTCATCGCTACCTGCTTCGCTGGTTAGACTGCGTTACGCTTGGTGCTGCATCGCACTGCTCTGAGTCTTCGTCCGTTCCCACGTGTCCTATTTTATTGGTGTTGTATTTGTGAGTATGTGATTACACATCGATCAGTGCGACATGGGACGTTGTTGTGTTCCCGGGTGCCGCGGCAATTATGACAGTGGTCCCAAAGCGCGTGTTTTCGCATTCCCCAAGGATGAAGCTCGGAAGAAGTCCTGGATAAAAGCCATTCCGCGAAAGGATTTCACACCAAGCATACACTCCAAGGTGAGAAAATGCTGAAGTTTGTTGTCTAACTGGCTCTATCGCATTACTGGCGTTCTCGCTCTGTTACTGTTGAACGGAGCGAGTATCGTGAGTGGTGATGGTAGTTTTGTCGCACTTCAGGTAGGGCAGTGCGGTAAAATAGAACAAATACTCAGGCTCGTGTCAAAGTTCCCATTAGTCCATTTCGTATGAAAGTAATAAAGTCACTGTTATGCTTGGCGCAGGTCTGTGAACTCCACTTCCTCGAGGCTGACTTCATCACAAAGCTGTCACATTTCGACGCAGCGTCGGGACGGACATTGACAGTCGACAGCGAGAGGGTGCGCCTAGTGTCAGATGCTATACCATCGGTGTTTCCGAACTGTCCGTCCTACCTGAGCACGAATCGCAATTGTCGAGAATCTCCTGTCTCGAAACGAGCTCAAATGGAAGACGAGGCCTTGAGCAAAGCGATTATGGACTCTATATGCGCAAAAAAAAGCGAAGAGGAGAGAAATGCTGTGTCCTTTTTCGAACACTTAAGAGGCAAGCTTTCTGCTGTATGCATTAATGATTTCTGGACCATCAAGGCCAACGATCGTTGTGTGATGTTTCTCCGCATCTAAGATAATCCTTCACCGCACGTGAGGTTTTCCGTCACTGTTCTTGCTGATCTCTCACTTGCAGTCTCAGCAGGTATGATCAAGCTGGTTTCATTACCTTGCGGAGGCGCAGTTCCAGACACAGTGCGCGACATCCGGACGTTGTCCTCACTGCTCCAGCAGCTGGAAAACCACATGACTGAGACGCCTGAAGTTGCAAGTCCGTCGAAAACAGCGTCAGTGTTGCAGCATATCGGCTCGTTATTGAATGAACTGTTCCCAAGACAGTGACACGACCGAAGAACACAGTGCTTTGATTCGTTTGCTAAATGAGCAAATAGCTCTCGCACTAGCTGCCCCCATTCGTTGCTACAGTGCTGAAACATTAATGTTTTCTAGCATCCTGCAACTCCATATCTCCGCACGCCTATAACTTTGGCAGATCAGCGTCGACGTTGACTTTATCCCATCCTTCAACCCTGCCTCGCGTTTGTTCCAAGTATGGAGGCGATCCACCGAAGGAGCAAAACGAAGCGAACTTCCTCTCCTACATTCGAGAAAGAGTGAAGTGCATGCAGCCGCACGAAACGACGGTGACACTAATGGTTGATGAAATTCATATCAAGCCATACTTCGATTATAAAGGGGGCAGCATAGTCGGATCTGCAGCCAATTCTCAAGAGGCAGCCACAACCGCTCATGTTTTCATGCTTCAGTCGCTCTTGTCATCAAACAAAGATGTGCTTCACATTCTTCCTGTTGCTAAAATGACCACCAAAATTCTACATGAGTTCTGCAAGAAAGTTTTTTTAGAAGTGGAATCTACGGGCCTCAGGGTCATTGCTGTAATTACCGACAATTC